GGGGCGAGCCCGGGGACGGCGGCGGGACTCCGCACGACTCCGGCTGAGCAGCCAGCGGGGCCCAGGCAGCGTGCCTGTAGGTCGCTCCGGCCTCCTCGCCGCCGGTTGGATGTCCTTGTCCCCAGAGCCCAGATGGTGGCGTGGCGAGGAGGGGTTTAGGCTGCGTTCCCCGCAGAGGGTGGCCAGTGTCTCGGCTGGCGGCTGCCCGTGCACTGCACCCCGTGGCCGCTGGCCTGCCCTGGGGCGACAGGCTGCGCTGCTGTTGCCGGCCCCTGCGGGACTGGGAGGAGGAAGGTGTGGAGGAGCTCCCACCCCGCGGGGGCGACCAGAGCTGGTTTCCTCAGGCTTCCTCTCCCAGCGGGCATGAGGGCATGACGCGGCTGCCCAGGTCAACCCGGGGAATAGGTCATGGCAGGCAGGTCGCCCAGCTCTGAGCTCTGCCCAGCCGCGGCGCCCTCACTCACCCCCAGCTTTAATCCCGCTCAAGGAGGAAGGTGTGGAGGAGCTCCCACCCCGCGGGGGCGACCAGAGCTGGTTTCCTCAGGCTTCCTCTCCCAGCGGGCATGAGGGCATGACGCGGCTGCCCAGGTCAACCCGGGGAATAGGTCATGGCAGGCAGGTCGCCCAGCTCTGAGCTCTGCCCAGCCGCGGCGCCCTCACTCACCCCCAGCTTTAATCCCGCTCAGCCTGCGCCGCTCGGAGGCAGACCCACCGGGACCTCTAGTCTCAGTCCGTCCTCAGGGTCACCAGTGGTGACTGGCCATTCCCCGTGCACTTCCCACCCTGGCCGCTCTGTCCCTGTCCTTCCCAAGCCCTGTCTGCTCCCGTGTGCTTGGGTTTCTCCTGGAAAGGGGGAGAGCAGAGCCGAGGGGGGCCGAGGAGCCAGGGAGGGGCGCAGAGGCCAGAGTGAGGTCAAGGACGGGGTGGGAGCCTGGTTGGGCCTGAGTAGCCCAGTCAGAAGCCCCAGGCAGGCGACAGGCAGGTTCCCACAGGGCAGCAGTGTGGGGGGCAGGACGGCCCAGTGGGAAGGCGGCCACCTCAGCAGGCCCTCCGATGTCCCCAGGGCCAGCTAGGCCAGGTTCCTCAAACCATGAGTGCCCGGGAAACCACCCGCAGGGAGGCACAGAGCCCGGCTGCTGCAGCCACGCAAGGCTTTCAGCCCTCCGCCCAGTAGCCCTTATGCTGTCACCACACTGTGCTGGGTCCACATCGCAGACGGGTAAACTGAGGCCCAGTTTGGGGAAGGGGTGCTCTGGTCACTCTGGAGCTTAGCGCAGACCCCGTGGAGGGATTGGTGAGAAACATGGGGCCCGGTGTGGGCCCAGTGAGATGCAGCGTCACAGGTGGGCTGGGCTCGCCAGGGCTGCAATCCAGGGCTCCCCTGTCCCGGCCCAGGGCGCGCTGCCACTGCCTTCCCCCTGTGCACCCCTCTCCCCGGGTGAGCCGCCAGTCCCACCCCTCCCACGTCCCTGCTTTGGCTTTCCCGGAGGAAATGCGCTGCCAGGGCAGAGGCTGCTCCCACCTACCCACGGCGTCCAGCACCGAGGACGTGCCGGCGTGGCGCTGCTCAGGAGGGCCGGACCGAGCTCAGGACAGGGCAGGTCTGGGCTTCCTGCAGCTGCCAGCCCGCAGCGGGGTGCTCGGGAGCTGCATCTCCCCGCCCCAGCCTGCCTTGAAACACCTCCACTGGTGAGTCACTTCTGGGGCTCGCTCACTGCCTGTGTGGCCACTGCTTGTCAGTCACCCATACCTCAGTGCAGACTGAGACTGGCTGGGGACAGGGGACCGGTGGCAGGGCAGGCAGCTTGGCTATCTCCTGCACAGGCAAAAAGATGCCCAGTCAGGGCGTGGTGAGGGACAGCACAGGGAGGGCCTAGGGAAACACTTCCTTGAGTGCACATGGAATTACGCCAGGGCCTTGGCCCCGGGCCCTGGGAACCTGGGAACCTGGGGACGGGAACCAGGACCTGTGCCAGGAAGTCCTCGCCTAGCTTCTAAGACTGCTTCTGCGCCCCAGGGTGCCTGGCCTCAGGACCTTCTTCCTGGGAAACCCCGTGGCATGGAGAACTGGAGTCCCCAGAGCGGCATGTCGGGTCTCAGGAAAGGTGTCAAGAGCTATGAGGGAGAGGCAGCGGGTGCGGGTAGACAGGAGGCATGGAGGGTAAGGTGCTGTATCTCACAGGGCTGACTTGGCAGTTCGAGTCTCCGGCCTGGTGGCTGGAGAAACACACCGGAAACCCAGTCCCAGGAGGAGAAGGGAGAGGGGACTGTGGCATGACATGCCCCCGAGAGTGACCTCACATTCCCTCTCTCTGTCTCCCTTCCCAGCGAGCAATGTGCCCTGTGGCCAACATAGAAAAATAAGAAACACAGTGCTGAGGGGCACGCTGGAGCCACAGCCAGTCCCGCAGGCCCTCCGTGCTCTCCCACTCACTCAGTAGACACCCCGAGACCCGGCGCAGCGGGCACCAGCAGGCCGTGACCCACAGGCGCCCACACTGCCCCCTCAGGGGGCCGCAGCAGCCAGCCACGCCCCTGCTGGTCCCATGGTGTCTGCGCCCACTTCCAGGACACCTCACATCATTAGTCACTGCCGCCCACCCCGGGAAGACGCCCGAGCGCGGGCCCTGCATCTTACTCACCGTGCGTGTCGGTGTGCAGCTCGGGACCTGGCGGGCAGCGGGGGCCCAGTAAATGTTTGTCAAGTGAGTTGGGCAGGCTGTCCCTCCCCCCCCATTTCAGGAAGGGAGTGGGAGGGGGGAGCATGGGGGGGCATGGCTGGCCACCAGGTGCAGAGGTGGGGCCCAGGATAGAGCAGGTGGGGAGGGCATCCCTGCTGTGCTGCCTTTTGGGGAGCCCCAGAGGAATGGGGTGGCCCCTTGGCTTCCGCATGCTCCCCGCCAGCCCCCAGGGTCCTGGGACCCCCGTGGCTCCTCATCCCTGGCTTGTCAGGGGTGGTGCAGCAGGGCAGGCTCTCGTGTTGAGAAGGGGGAGCTCTTGTCCGCAGGTGTACCCCGTGCTGCCTCTGCCCTCCCACTGAGGCACGGACCGGAAACGCACCTCCTGACGGTGAGGCTCCCACGGCTGCCGGG